CGGCGGCGGGGGCGGCGGCCCGGCCAGGGCGAGCGGAAAGTTGTAGTAGTCGCGACTCTGATACGCCGAGGCCTCCTCCAGGGCGCCGGACTTGTAGAGAGACAGGCTGGATGGCAGCTCAAGTGGCCCGGAGACCTCAGCTTCGCCGCCGCCGCCGCCGGAGCAGCCCAGGCTGTCGCCGTCCAGCGCTTTGGCGTAACCTGTCTTGAAAGGCGGGTAGTCGGAAGTGTCTTCGGCGCCCTTGCTCGGGCGCTCATCCAGCAGGGAGCCTTTGCATTCGGCCAGCTGGGTGCAAGCAGTGGGGCGCACAGCGGGCGGCCCGCCCAGGAGCGGCGCGTACATGCAGTCCCCGCGAAGCTGCTCCCCGGGACCCAGATGCTCCAACGACTCCACACCCAAGCCCATGGACACCGACACCGCCTTGCACAGCTCCTTGGCGCTGTCCGAGATGCTCGAGCTGCCTGCTAGGTAACTGTCCTTGGACGAGGTGGGAGCCCCCGCGGCCTCCCTGGCTCTCCCGCCGCTGCCGCCTTCCGATGTCGCCTCCTGCTGCGGCGGCTGCGGCGGCTGCTGCAGGAGTTGCATGCTGCCGGCCTCGCTCAGGATGTCCTTAAGGTTGGCAGAGCAGCCGCTTAACCCCGGGAAAGTGGGGCCCAGCAGGGACAACGTGGATGGGGCAGCTGAGTCATCCTCGTCCGGCGGTGCTGGAGGCGGCGGCGGCAGCCCCTTGCCTGCGGCCGCGGCAGCTCCGGGCTCCGGAATGCAGCCGCTGTCCGCGCGGCCCTCGGGGGCTGGCTGGTGCTGGGCGGGCTGCGGTTCCTGCTCCAGGGCCAGGTAGCCCGCCGGGCATCTGCCCTGGCTTTGCGGGGAGCCGGGTCACTGCCGTCCCTGCCCCTGGAGCTCTCCCGCCGCCGCTGCTGCTGCTGCTGCTGCTGCTGCTGCTGCTGCTGCAAACGGGCGCCGGGAGGTGCTGCGCTCGCGGGCTCGGGGTGCCGAGGCCCCGGGGTCTGGATCACTTCGCGGACGCTCTGGAACAGGTTCTGGAACGCTCCTCGGTAGGTCTTGGACGGCGGCCGGGGGTAGAGCCTCCCCAGTCCTAACTGCACCTCCATCGTTGAGCTCGGCCGAATCTTCCTCCTAATTCTTGGATCCCGCTTCCCCTCCTCGCGCTGACAAGAGTTCAACAGGCGGCGACGCGGTGGTCACTGCGGCGAGCTGGCCACCTGCGGGAAGCTCCCGAGAAAGAAACTTGCAGGAATAAACATACAGAAGCGCGGTGACAGGCTCTGAGCCCCGTGCAGGGGGACGCGCGCGCCGGGCACGGTGTGCCCCGCCGGGCTCCGGCTCCCGCTGGGCACTCGCAGGGCAGACTCGGAAGATGCTCAAATCTTGAAGAAAAAAAAGGGGGGGGGTGTAACTCGCCGCCTTACCGATCCAGCGTGCGCTAAAGCAGGTGCAGATAGCGACCGCGCCACGTTATTTTTCTTTTCTGCTTCTGTTTGTGCGGTTTGGGTG